ATATATAATCACTTTACCTGTTCAACAAGTTTACATTAATTAAAAAAAATGTACTGACAAATATACCAATACTGTGATAGGATTCTTCAAACCAGAGCCACTTTACTTAAACAGTTTATTATTATTATTTATTGTCTCATCTCACACATGGCTGAATGGGATGTTTTCCTCTGCTTTACAAATAACCTTGAAAAGTTAATTGAAAAAAAAAAAGGATACACAATTCTGGAAATGTTTTGCTAATTTTCCTCCTATCAGCACTATATGGCCAACATAACACCTCTCAATTCTTATTATGTTTATTTGTTGTGATTAAAGTCCCTTCTGCTCCACTGACTTCTGCTCTGTGACACAAACTGTATCCTCAGCCTCGACATGGAAGAATAAATCCTGTGATTTTTTTCTTTTTGCCTTTTTCAGGTGGAAYTGAAGCTCACTGCACTCATTCATGCACCGCAGAATGAGCTGTGATTAAATCTGAATACAATCTTGAACCTTGGGTTAATCACATATTACGAAATCCATTACTTATAGCTGACAAGAGCCCAGTGATGTGGGCTGCGATCCTTGAGTTCCTGTTTGGAGYTTTTGGGCCAAAGGTATGACAGTTCTATCTCAATTACAGAAACCCTCAAGCAAAATGGGAACCTAGGATGGAACAAATTCACATTTTTTTTAAGTGAGTAAAATAACTAAAATGTGGGTTTTTTTGTATACATGATCAGTCGATAAAGAATAAGAAGTTGAGGCAACAAGTCACAGTGTTTCATAAAGACATACTTTATAATATCAGGAGCATGTTTGGATTTATTAAGTTAATTTTAGTGTCATACCTGTTTGTTTATTTTTTATCTTTTTTTTTGTTAAGTTACTTTTCTACCTCAACTGTGTTCTATAAAACAGATACAGTAAAGATATTTAGAACTGGATATATAGTATCTATCTTACTAGTTTCTCTTAATAGTGTTCRTCTTTTTGCTTTGACCGCAGCTTTTTGTTTTGCTTACAGTGGTCAGTCCCTCACCCGCATCGCACCCTCTCTGTCAGGCTTCCAGCCAGGGTCAATAAATCCACATCAGTGTCTTAATATTTATGACCAGACTCCAGACCCATTTATTTAATGCCTCAAGAAATGATCAAAATCCACGTTATATCTTATTTCACCAGCTATTTGTTAATCGTTGTCAGTCATTTATTCTGAATTGACTGAAAGAGTATTAACTCAGCACTGCAGAGGTGTCACRCTGAGGATGAAGGTTCCCCTGAAACCAAGAAAAAAAAGAAGAAAAGCCAACTGAAGGCTTTAGAAGCTGTTCACATGATGACATTTTCCCATTCAGCCACAGAGTGAGAAGAAAAGCGATGGATTATAAAGCTAATCTGAAGTTTTGGTTTGTTTGGTGAGAGCTCCTGCTGCAGGTTTGACTCTAATTATGACGTTGTAATGGAGAACTTTAAGTTTTGGACATATGGCGCACAACCACTGCAGCACGTGAATGGAAAACCAAGAACTCTCAGTGCTGTGTATTTTTATTGTGTATTTACAAAATAATTTTTTTTTAATTTTGAACAATGTTGCTAAAATCAGTTTAGGTCACTTTTTCATGCCCTCAGCGCTCCATTTATTTTAAAACCTTGAAATCTCTTTATTGAACAACCTCCTTGWTTATTTGATGGCTCCACAATCACTGGTTGAAAAAAGGCTTTTCTTGTTAAGACAAGTACAGTATATTCCGGCTCTGTTTGAAGGCGTCATTGATTTTAGATATTTTTAATGGGGCTTAAAATTGAGCCTTTTTCCTGCTCTGGCTTCTGCTTTTGTTAGTGTAATTTTATTCTTTTAGTTTTTTGATTTTACTAGTTTTATAATCAGTGTGCATTGCCAATGCAATGCACACTATTGTTTTCCTGTTTCTCTTTATTATTATTATCAGTGTGCATTGCCAATGCAATGCACACTATTGTGATTCGTTTCCCATCCAAGTCATCTCAACTTTGCCATACTTTGTCCTAGAGCTGCCATTGTAATTTATATCTGTTAAGGTCCTGTGACAAATGATTGCTATGCCTTTTGCTGCCTGTACCAC